AATCCAGGTAGAACTCAATGTCCAGGAAAGAGTAAGGATATAATAAAAAGGCTTAAACACCTTTTTATTATATATATATATATATATATATATATATATATATATATATGTGTGTGTGTGTGTGTGTGTGTGTGTGTGTGTGTGTGTGTGCAATTAACAGGCTGAAAAGAAGAAAGATAAAACAACTTATACCACCAAAGAACTTTTGCCAAGGAAAATAACTGAAATTTACATAACAACCAAGATGTGTCTCCTACACAGTGGTTCTGCGGCATTAAGAGAACGCATCCTTTTAAAACGAGTTTTTCATAAAATTTGATTCTCAAGTTTAATAACTGTTAAAGCTTTTTCTAATACTGAAAGGAGTTTCCTACGAAATCTTTGGCTTTTGGTCGTGTAGAAGATCAACATCTTGATTTTGCCATGCTTTCCCCTTCTAATTGCCTATCCATTTTGATTATTAATGATGGAAGTCCTCAAGTATAAAAACAGACGTTATGTCAAAGGGTAGAGGCTCGTCTTAGGAAACAGCTACCCGTTTTATTCGGGGTCTACGAGGAATTTTTGGCCGAGCCCACGGGCTCGGATACCCCACATTAAATTCGGTCATGTGCTTCATCTGACCGCGTGGGGTCGTTGGTAGATATCCCGCAGTTGGAGATTCATTGTGGAATTCACTTGACTTACTTCTAGTCGTTGACTACTTCTTCTACGCGCCGATGGTTCATTAACCTCCCCTAGGTTATAATACATATTAATGTATAACTTCATAAATTATACACAGTTATATCAACCCGGTTAAAATGCCCACCCACTACTTCCGTCTTCGAAAGTGCTTAAGTTGTTGAACACCGTGTAGTTGATTTGCTGAACAAACCACCCGAGGAGACCGTAGAGGTCGAAACCGCGGTTCTGTGCTTTGGTCAGCTTTCATCCTTTTAAAATATATATATATATATATATATATATATATATATATATATATATATATATATATATATATATAGTGGAAAATATACATACATATGCAAAATATATAAATACCCATACATGTATATTTTCAGAAAAAAATTCCAAGAGGAAGAATCCAGGTAGAACTCAATGTCTAGGACAGAGCAAGGATATAATAAAAAGGCTTAAACTCTAATATTCCATGGTCATAATTTATTCCATTGGAATCGTAAATACGATCCAATTCATCAGACCTACAAATTCAAAAAGAAAACAGAAAAAAAAAAAGAAAAAAACCAACTCCGGAAATAAAAACAGAATTTAGAGAGAGTGTAAGTATGAGGAGGAGGGAGATTAAACCTTAACGGATGGAATTTTAGGAGATATGGGAGGAGGTGTTTAAATAAGAGAAAAGAATGAATGTTGACGGATGTCTAATGCATAAAGATATATATATATATATATATATATATATATATATATATATAGTGCAAGGGAGAGAATTAATATAAGGAATAGTTTTGTCACCTTCAGCATCCCGACTCCAGAGTTTTATAGACGGACCCTCCGGCGATTACACTTTCTACTCGTCAGGGGGGGGGTCAAGAAGGATTTACTGTACAATTAGCTTGTCTTTTTTGTGGGGACTATGCCAGTGATCTAATCATTAAAGTAAAGGAAACTTTTATTGCAATATTTGTTTAATACATTCTACCAATAATATTCTAGGTTGCATAAAGTCCTCGCATTAAAATCATTCCCAGTGAATTCATACTGTAAAATCATTTGCAATTTTCTATATATTAATTTGTGTTTGTTGTCTTGCTGTATATGTAATCATTATGAGTGGAGAAATATTTTGGCATTAAATAATTGATAGTAATGCTTTTCTATAGTAAATAATATCTCATGATATATGTTTTAGTATTTGATCTGTCACTGTATATATAAGCATTAAAGTGTAGGAAAGTTTTGATATATAGATAAGATCAACTGCTAAGAAATTCGGTTCATTGTGTCGGGCGAGACATTTTTTCTCCCCGGAATCTATCTTGCATATCTATAAGTCTACCATTTGTCCATGCTTAGAATATTGCAGCCAAATACGGTCCGATACTCCTGCTATTTACCTGGAGCTCCTTGATAAGATCCAAAGAAGATTCAGCAATATTATTGGTCCTAATCTGGCTGCTCGGCTTCAGTCATTTGGTCACGCCGTAAGGTTGCTTCTCTCTTCATTTTTTTTTTATATAAATACTTTCTTAGTAATTGTCTGGAAGAGATCTTCGCCATGGTACCTAGACTGTATGAATTTAAGCGCAATACTATGTTGGCGGCAAGATCTCATCAATTTACAGTTGAGCTGATGTAACCGGAACTTCGATGCTAACAGTTTCTTTTCTCGATCTTTTTCTATGTGGAACTCTCTTCCGGCTCCATGCTTTCCAGCTAATTTTTATCTACAAAAATTTAAATGCAATGTTAATCGCTATCTAGAATCCTTCTGATTGCTTTTCTCTCTTTCTACTCATTGCTAATGCTTTTGTTTTTAATCTCTTTGCACCCTGTAACCCCTTGCGTGCTTGTGGCTTTACTGTCTTGCTTGGAAAGAAATCAGGAGAAAAAAAAATGGAAGGAGAGAAAAGTTTTCGCACCTCTTTTGGCTTTGTAAGATTAAAATGTCAAATGAACATACATCTCTTTTTTCGTAGATTACACAAAATCTATAT